GGAGATTGCCGGGCCCGTTCCCTCCACCGTGTCCCCTTCAGATACCAGCTGTGAAATTCAGAAGGCAGCAAAAGAGCTTTAAACAAAGAGGTGGAAGAAGTGCAGCTTAACACGGCTGAGATGGGCCCAGAGGCTGGAAAATCGACTGCAGGGAGCAAATCTGAAACAGGAAGAGGAGGAGGAAGGAGATGGGGTTGCAAAACGACCTGGCAGACACCATAGGGTGCCTCATTCACTGGTGGTATGGCCTGGACTCAGGATTTGAAGGCCCCCACAAACCCCTTCCAACATACAAAGTAGCCAGTCTCTACAGTGTGTTGTTTTTTTTTTTTTTTTTTTCTTTTTCCAGAGCATTTTTGGGAATAGAAACAAAGCCATGTCAGAACAATGGGTTTTGTGGATGGTCAAGGTGGTACCATCTGAAGCCTTGACCTTATGGTCCTATTTCTGGGTCTCTGTGGCAACTGCACCCAGCCTAACACCCTGCTCAGCTCAGACCTGCGAGACTCCAGCTGGAGCAGCAAACTGGGATCCACTGACAACACCAAGTCCTCAGCACTTGCCTTCCGAGAGGCTCCTGTCTCTCTGAAAGCACTTCTGCGCAGGGAGAGCACACAGAAAAGTGCAGAGAAAGAAGTCTTCAGCCTGGAGAAGAGAAGGCTCAGGGGAACCTCATCCACATACATCAGGTGCTGCAGAGAAGGTGCCCAAGGGATGGAGCCAGGTTCTCCTCAGAGTTGCCCAGTGCCAAGCCTAGAGGCCATGGGCACAATCTGGAAGACAGGAGGCTCCCTCTGAACATCAGGAAACCCTTTTCACTGTGAGGGTGCCCGAGCCCTGGCACAGGTTGCCAAGGGAGGTGATGGAGTCTCCATCCTTGGAGATATTCAAAAGCCACCTTGAGACGGGCCTGGGTAACCAGCTGTGGGTGGCCCTGCTGGAGCACAGGGAGATGACTCTGCAGGTCCCTTCCAACCTCAGCCACTCCGTGATCCTTTCCCGGGCAACACTCTCAGCTTTCCAACAGAGGAGCTCCACGTGCTCAGACAGAAAACTGGGCGGGGGCTATAAGGGAGAAACCCTTTTCCTAATTTACTACGAGATTTTGTTCTCACTCAGCCCGTCTCAGTCCCCCCCCGCCGGGTGACACAACCCCACGGTCTGCTGCGGGTGACAGCGACGACCTGTGTGCTTTTCAGCCCCCTTTCTTTCCTGGATGAAACGACCTGCAATGCAGAGGCTGCTGGCTGCAGCCCTCCTCCTGCCCCATCTGTCATCCTGTGCCCCGGTGGCGCCGCCAGTAGGGAGCTGTCTGGCACAGGGAGCACGTCAGCATTCCCTCCCTGCCTGGTTTTTTTATTGGCTCGTTTGCTGCATCCCTGCCTTGGGAGAAGTTTTCTTTCCTTTTATCTCTCACTTTCACAGCCTCGAACTGGGGTCTCAGTGTCCCCCAGCTCCCCTCTGGAACAAGCTGGCCAGATATGGGGGAGGCGTGGGGGGCAGCCCAGTGCCCCCCCCCTCCCTCCCCCCAGCATTTTTCTGAAGGGCAGCAGATCTGCCGATGGAGAGGACGTGGGGAGACGGGACCCCCCACGGTAGCATCTCCCCTCCTGAGCTTCCTGGGGGGCTGGCCAGGGAGACCTGCTGCTCCTGCCAGGGCTGCAGAGAAGCAAATGATGCTCTGCTGGGAGAGGAGAGTGGGGGGTTGTTCTCCTGTTTAACTGCTAGTGACAGAGAGAGATGCTTGTGCTCTGTAGAAAAGAGAACTCCCCCACCTGCCTCCCTTTCTATTACTATTTCCATGAAACAAATCATAGAATTTAATATTTAGAATTTGTTTAATATTTAAAATATTTGTGTCCATGAAGCAATTCACAGAATTTAATATTTAGGATATAATGACAGAAACATTTTGGTTGGAAAAGACCTTCAAGGCCATTGAGTCCAACTGTTACCCAGCACTGCCAAGTCCACCACTAACCCATGTCCCTCAGCACCACTTTTAAATACCACTTAACACAAAGAAACCCCAGCAGAGTTGCTCTGGAGTAAGGTACATCACTGCCATCCTTTACCCCCATCTCTTCTGCTCAGTCCAACTCTCACTATCCTTCTGGAAACCCTGGGAGCCATGAGAGGAACCCTGGCTCCAGAAGAGACAGTGATGCTGCTGCTGCTGACCTCCAGAAAACAACATTTCAACCTGGGCCAGTTCCCCATAAGTCTTCTCTACATATCCCAAGTAGAATCTGCCACCACAGAGCCTTCTGGTTTCCCTCAGCACCTTTTTCTTTCCCTGGATAAATCCGCAGTTGTCTCCCACTCATGGACTCCAGTCCATGAGACTCATGGACTCAAGACTCAAGGCAGCACCACAGGGTTTGCCACCTCGGGGGGAAAGCACTTTAGGGTGAAGGGATTGTCATGGAATTAAGTTCTGCTCTTGTTAATGGCAAGAATGACACAATGCCAACTCGTTGCCATCTGCAAACTCACTGAGGGTGCCTCAATCTCCTCGTCCAGATCATTGGTAAAGAGATTAAAGAGAAGATGCCCCAGTACTGAGCCCTGGGGACACCACTTAGAATCACAGAATCATTAAGGTTGGAAAAGACCTCTAAGATCATCAAGTCCAACCATCAACCCAACACTACCATGACCATTAAACCATGTCCCCAAGAACTTGTGACCAGCCACCAACTGGAATCAACTCAATACATTTGCATTAACTTCCATTCATGTGTGTTAAGTGTTCTCCTGAGCAGGAGCTTCACATTTCTGTGTAAAAGCATAAACTACCAAAATGATGCCCAAGAAAATGCACATTTTCATCCCCAAATGCCACATCCTCCCTCAGTTCCAGATCTCTTGAGGCTATTTTGCTGTAGGCAGCACGGTGTCTGCATCAAGGCGACGTCCTGGATTTAGTTCCACTTTTTTATTATTCAACTTTTTATACATAATAAATACAAACTTTTTACAGCCAATATAAAGAAAGCATTTGCACCTATGCTTTCAGTGTACTGACGCTGTACACATTGATACGTTGAATACATGCCCTGTATGAAGAAATCATAGTTAAAAAGGAGGCATATTTTTACAACTTTTCTTCTTTTTTTTTTCCTTTTTTTTTTAAATAAAATTAGCAGCTCTTACAGAAAATATTTTAAAATACAACTAAAGAGACTTTAAATAACACTTTGTGAATTTTGAAAGTCCAGGTATGAAGGACGCAGAAAAACTGGCCAAAGAAATCAAACAGGAACATTATGGCAACATTTGCTTTTGTTCTGCATTGTGAAGCTTTCAAAAGTTTTGCAAACGGTTAAATCTTCTTTAAAAACTTTTTTTTTTCTTTTTTAAACTTAAGAATAAGTTTGATAAACACATAAAAAGACCTCAAACAGATCAACAGGACAAGAGGTGCAAAAGAATGAAAAATATAGAAAGGACTTCATTGGACAGTCACCGATTTCATAACTGATCCAAGAATTGTTTTCTTCAAACAGCCCCACTCTTGGTTCAAGACCCCACTGGGAAAGGAGATTGGCAAACACGGATGTCTCAGAGACCCAGCTTGGGTTGGGATTGACAAGTGTGTGCAAAGTTGATGATAAAATCTTTTTAGATGGTTTTTGTTTGTTTGTTTGTTTTTTGTAAATGCAGCCTCAAAAAATAGCCCTTGTTAGTAAACTAAAAGTAGAAAACCCACTGGCTTAGAAAAGAAAATGAAGACATAAGAGCGCATTCAATAGAACCCAAAAAACAGCTCAAAAAACCCAACCTGGTGGTGCCTTTTAACTGAAGCATTGATCTGATGGACATTGTTGAAAATCATTTAATCAGTACACAAAGAAAAACCTGTTTTCACCCAGTTTTTCCCTCTCCTCTGACCACTTATCTCCACAGTCAACCTCAAAATATCCTCTGCCCTTTTCTTTCAAACAACAAGAAGAAGAAGAATTAAAAGCTTCCTTTTCAGAGATCTCTGTTTGAAAACTAAGTTTTGAAATCCTTTTACTCTCTCTTTCTTGCCGAAGAGGAACTTGAGACCACAGTCTTGGCCAGGAAGGTGGACTGAAGGCTCTGCAGAAAGCAGAGAGGTTTTCCTGGCCTGTGGCTTTAGCTACCGAACGGGCTCCTCGTGGTAATGTGCTACAGGACCATCCGATGCAGAAACTAAACAACGTGTGTCAATGCTCTACATGTAACTTCTAACTCCAGCCAGATGTTTGGATGGCAAAGATAAACTGCTAACATTGGACAGTAAAGCAGACAGCAATGACTGGGAAAAGAGTGACCCAAAGACTTTAACGAAACAAGAACAACCAACCAAATCAAAACCCCCCAAAATCTGCTAAGAAAAAAAAGAAGCTCAATTTCCAGATCTAGACAAAATCTCACTTATTTTTCTAACAGTTGGTTTATGCTATGGAACAGGATGTCGCTACTAATTCAGCACCTCCATATTAGATACTCTATTACTAAATGTACTGCATAAATATTAATACAAAGAAGATAACAGTTGAACTGTTAATTATGGAAGAGGTGTGCATTAATGTCTTTAACGCCGTATGATCCGCATCAGTTTTCCTTATCTAGAAGATTATTCTCCTGGTTCTTCCTTTCTGCAAGGGGGGGTTAAAGAGGAGCCAGCCTCTCCTTTAGAGTTATTTTTCAGTTCCCTTTTTCGTTCCACGAGATCTGATTAACACCTAATCAGACGAGTAATGCTACTTGAAGAACTGACAATCTTTAACACATTCCTCTGGCCACAGTAATATACTGTACTAATGCACGGGACCCAGGTACGCTGTGACTAAGCTGCACAAAGGAGGCTCTTTCCTCAGCCTCCGTAGAAAAATGGGACCATCTTCAGGCAAGAGAGAGCCCTGCTCCAAGGCAATCCTCTGCTCGCTGCTCGGCCCATCTCGCTTTGTGCTAAGAGAGGAAGAAGGATGTCTAGAAATCAAACCAAAAAAAAAAAAAAAAAAAAAAGGCACAAAATATTCACGACTGTGGGAAGGAATCCACCGCGTCACTGCCACATAAAATCCTCCCTAGCTCTTGCTCTATCCAAAGTCTTCATCATGCAAAGGTGCCTAAAATCGAGACTGACCAAATACCGTGTTTGGTCTTGATTGTAGCACTACTACTTAACGAGTCCACCGTTACACCAGAGTGATTTCCACGTCCTCGATCTTCTCTGTCGCCCGGCGGTGATGCTGTGTAGGGGGTGGTGGAGCTGCTCGCACCTGAAACAGCCAGAACCAGCCTGTCACTGTCAGAAAACTGCCAATGCTTCTCAGCTGCTCTACATTAAAACTCCAACTATGGGCTTGTACCTCAAGACAGACTACACTAAGTTCAAGAGAACTACAGAGAGTAACCAGCTGAATGCAGGTCCCATTGTCTCCAATGCAGCCACCAAGGTTCTTCCTTATGACCTGTCCCCATTCTCAGGTGATTTTTCTAGGAGTCACCATGGGGCAAACACACCGAGTGAAATAACCTGTAACTACTCTGCCTGTTCCATGAGTAATCCAGGACGTAAACCTGGGATGGACTTTGGATTTTACATCACATCTTGAAATCTGTTGATGCCTTGCCTGGAACTTCTGTCAGCTGGAAACTACAAGAATGGCTGGTTGTATTTCAGTGGTTTACTCATATTTAGTCAAGCACTAAGCTGAGTGATATAGAGCTGGAATCTGATGCTAATTTTACACTCCACCACATCAATAAAGTAATTATTGCTCCTGATGGAGGTTACCTTAAGCACCAGCAGCATTTCATCCAGGGTTTTTATCACATGATTTCAGAATGCACCAGACTGGCTGGCTATGGAAAATGTGAATCATGGCGCACCACTATAACAAACTTCACAATATTTTCAAACCAGGCATGGTTAAAATGCAATATAACAGAAAACCTTTCAATTAAGGCAGGACGCTGTGGTAATATCTTGAAAAGACAGTAAATTGCAAGAAACTCGTGAATAAAACCATAAATCTATAAAATGGGAAAGCTGAATCAATGTTTCTTTCCAAGGGAATAAAATAATGTGACACCTCTGCTCAATACTTAAATACTGAACACTGCAGTATTCCCACTGTCAATGAATAAAGCTGACTTACTAACTCCTGGAATATCAGCATATAATTTCTGAATATCCCCAAATGCTCTTTTTCTGCAACCTCATTCATTGAGAATGCCAGGGAAATACAATATTACCTCTTAATGTGACGTGGTTTAGGACCTTGAAACCCCTAAAACCTGAGTTCAAAGTTAATCCTAGGAGATGGATTTTGCAAGTTCTAATTGATTACTTCTTTCTGTTCTTTTCTGGCAAAATTTCTCTTTCTGGGCAGCAAAGACATGGCAAGATACATACATTGTTAAGAATATTTAATCCAAACCTCTCAAATCAAAGGGTTTGGAAATAATCTGAACCCTAAATGCAACAGAATCCCAAGGACTACCCATTACATGAAGCTATGGCCAGCAGATTTGTCTCCCAGCACATTGGATAAGCAGGAATTATACCAATAATTTCACTGACCTATTCTGGTGTTTATCTGCCCCCTCTTTTTTAGTTCTGTTTAGGGGTTATTACACGCAGCCAGAACAGAAAGAACCTCCCAAGGCAGTGGAAGTTCATTGACTAAGATCTATTTTACTATCACTGTAGATGGAATTTCCTCCCAAGTTGGATTTCATGACTCATGTGCCTCACACAGAGACACGCAGGGATCACATCAGCCAAGGCAGACACAGGGGACAGGTTAGATGAAGGACAGGGCATGGGGAAGCATCAAGGTCATCTTCAAACAGAGTGACTTGGTGTTTAAACAAGCACAGCTCTGTTTTGTTCTAGCACTTACTTCATCTCAAGCAGCTCTCATGTTCTACAGCTTTAGGACACATCTGTGGTGTTATCAAAGGGAGTGAGCAGACCCTTCCTCACACTACTAAGCTGAGATACCACAGTTTTATACATGGGAATTGGATTTGCAGGACACCAAGAGTCAAAGCATCTGTCACCACCCTGCCTTGAATGTACCCATCCTGGTGGACCTAGGCCTGGCCTCATGACTTTGTAGCATCAGCAAACCCAACAGTATTCGGGTTTGAACTTACGGGTCGCAGTTTGCCGTAGGAGGTTTCGGGAGGAATCCGTGGAGGCTGTGAGAATCCAGGGGACTCTGAACTGAAGCTGTTTTCTGAAAGAGTAATCAACAACCCCTCATGAAGCAGCCACTCTGTGTTCCTGAATTAACTTGGTATTGCAAAAAAAGCTTTTTTCTCTTCTTCCCTGCTCCAAACATCCCGAATTAAGCATTTAGCCAAAACGCTTCTTTGGCTATCACAAAATTTCTTACCATTAGCTGACGGTGATCTGGGGAAGTACTGAGAACCTCTTTTATCTGGACTGTGGTAGGGACTGGTGGGAGGCTGGTCGTACAGTGGCAGTGGTGGAAGGGTGTTGTTAGGCTTCGGAGTCGGGGATACCTGTGTTAAAATGCAAGAGGGGCTCAGGAAGCCTCGTCCCTCAACAGTTTTTATGTACACACCAGGGTGCAGCAAGTTCTCTGACCCATCAGGATGCCAGGAACCATCATCTGGAGAAAAACTCTCTGTCAAAAGTACTGTGAAGTACCTCAGGGAAGGAAAACCAAGATATCCAAGTAGGTTTTTTTTTTTAAATTATAGGTTGCCACCAAGCAGAAATTTTCACCCTCTCCCTCTCTGCCTGAGATAATTCAGATAAACTTCTTGAAGGTTATTTGAAAAAAGTCAGTCTGGCCAAGTTTGCCTTTTCACATATATTCACACAAAATGTTGATTAAGACTGTGAGGTTTATCCTAACTCAATGGCACAGATAGTTAAGTTTCCATGGTCTTCTCAAATCAAATGTTAAATTTCCATGGTCATCTCAAATCAAAGAATAAAAATACTGGAGAAATTACTTCACAGGTAACATGGAGGTCCAGTTTCTAGATATAATATGATAATATAATATAATATATATCCTAGAAAATAGGATAATATAAGGATTACAGAACTAGACTGGAATTAGGACATTTTTGCAAAAATTACTATCATACAATATTCAGCAGCACTCTGCCTTTCAAAAATTGAGCAGATACAGAACAGCTTTAAGTATGAAAACGTGAAATGAGGGCTGAGAGAGCCTGTCATTCTCTTTTTGCCAAGTTCTGTTGGATGTCTCAGTCTATGCCATAAATTACTTACAGGACTGTGGCTTTTCTTTAGTTCATTTCCCTTCACTGGTTCTGATTTTTTTTTTTTCCTTTAAATTGATTCTGATTTATTTTCCTTAGATTGATTCGGATTGTTTTCTTCCTTAAATTGGTTCAGATATTTTTTTCCCTTAAATCAGTTCTGATTTATTTTTCTTAAAGTGGTTCTGTTTTTTCCCTTAAATGGATACTGATTTTTTTTCCTTACAATGTTTCCAATTCTTTTTTCCTTAAATTTGTTGATTTTTTATCCCTTTAAAGTGGTTCTGATTCCTTTTTTTTCTCTAAAGAAACAGCCTTGCAATATCCCTCTACTAAACAAATACCACACGTGCAAGCCAGCACCTCAACTCTTTACCCACCTGAATATCTCCAATCCACTGTGTCTCTCCATTTTCTGAGGCTGTGAGCTCTTCAACCAGCACGGATGGGAACACCCCAACGCGCCCGTTGAATTCTCCTTCCCAGAAGCCATCATCATCTTGATTTTCCTTGTTCAGGATGCGGATGATCGCTCCCTCCGGGAAGGACAGCTCGTCATCTGTCTGCCCCTCGTAGTCATAAAGTGCTTTTACAAAACAGACTGAAGAATGGAAGAAGGGGGAAAAAAGTAAATGGCGGGACGTTAAAAAAAAAAAAATCATAAATTCTATGCATACTTTTATGGTTGGACTCGATGACCTTATAGGGCTTTTCCAACCTAAATGACTCTATAATTGCTGAGCTGAATTAACATTAACTAAAATAAAGGAAAACTAAAATAATCTCAACTCTAAGAGCGGGGAAGTTATGCCAGTTTGGTACGAGGTAAGAGAATTCCTGAGCACAGCTGTACTTGGATATGGGTCCAGCTCTGGAGCCCCCAGCACAAGAAGGACATGGACCTGTTGAAGCGTGTTCAGAGGAGAGCCACAAAAATGATCCGAGGGCTGGAGCAGCTCTGCTGTGAGGACAGGCTGAGGGAGTTGGGGTTGTTCAGCCTGGAGAAGAGGAGGCTCCAGGGGGGACCTTATAGCGACCTTCCAGTACCTGAGAGGGGCCTACAGGAAAGCAGGGGAGGGACTGTTCACAAGGGTTTGGAGTGAGAGGACAAGGGATAATGGCTTTAAGCTAGAAAAGGGGAGATTTAGGTTAGATGATAGGAAAAAGTTCTTCAGTCTGAGGGTGATAGACCACTGGAATAGGTTGCCCAGACAGGCGGGGGGGACCTCATCCCTGGGGATATTCAAGATCAGGCCGGATGAAGCTCTGAGTATCTTGACCTAATTGGACATGTCCTTGCTTATGGATGGGGGGTTGGACTAGATGACCTTTGGAGGTCCCTTCCAACCCAAACATTCTATGATTCTATGAAATCTGAGAAATTCTCACGTGCAACATCCAAACTCGATACGCACTGGAGAACAAGGTTAACAGACTATTGGCTTTGATGGCTATTTACCACTGGAGTCTCCATTCAGGCTGCCCGAGACCAGGTCGGCCTCAGTGGAGTTGTTGGAGGTGTGAGATCGAGTGTCCAGCGCCGCCAGGGACTGCAGCATGCTCAGCAGGCTGCTGGAGGTTGGGAACTGCAGGTACTTCTCCGGCACGTAGCCCACCTGGCCGGCTTTGTTCCGAGCCTGTGGAGAACCGACAGCAAAGGCGCTCAGCTTTAGCACACTGCAAACCATCCAAACGGTTCCTCCCGGCCCCATTCTACTTCTAACACCAACAGCAAAAAGAACAGAGGCTCAGAAGAATGATACCTTTACCCAGTCTTCCATGTCTCCGTCCTCAATCACCTCCAACACTTCATGTTCCTCTATGGTCAGTTCGTCTGGCTGAGAAGCCTGAGTGTGGAACAGGAGGATAAGGTGGGTTTGGGTGCATGGGACAAGCAGTTTAAGAACATTCTCATCCAGACTTTCATGAAAACTTGTTTGTTTTTTTTTTAAAAAAAGAACATTTTATGATGTAAAGCCTATTAATCAGGGTTCTGCTGTAAACCTACTGATGTTCACAAGACTCCTTTGCACTCAGGAGGACTGATGGAGACACCCTGACCACTGCGCAGGGTGCTGAACACTAATTAATTTTGAAACCCTCAGTACTCCATGAGTAATGGCTACTCATTGAGCAGTGACTCACTGAGTAGTGGCTTGAGCAGCGGTGGGATCTACAGCTGCCCTGGCAGAAATGAACAGTGTGAGCAGAGATGGTCAGCAGAGCTTGGACTCCTGAATGGTACTTTCGCTGTCACAGCAAAAGCAAAGCTCTGTAATGCAGCACACCAGGAGACCAGATGCTGAATTCTGGACTTCTACTCTGGCCACTCTGGCTCAGCTACAGAAATAACACCTTCCAGCAGCAGGTAGACAACTGGTCTGCTGGAGGCCAGACAAGGACATCTCTACATGGAATCATGGAATTGTTCTGATTCGAAGAGCCCTTTAAGATCACTGAGTCAAACGGTTATCCCAGCACTGCCAGGTCTCCACTGACCCATGTCCCTCATCTCCACGGCTTGGAAACCCCTCCAGGGATGGGGACTCCACCACCGCCCTGGGCAGCCTGGCACAGCCCTGGACAACCCTCCAGGGCAAGAAATTGTTCCTCAGGGCCAACCTCAACCTCTCCTGGGGCAACCTGAGGCCATTCCCTCTTGTTTGGGAGAAAAGATCAACTCCCATCTGGCTCCAACCTCCTGTAAGAGAGTTGTGGAGAGCCAGAAGGTCTCCTCTGAGCCTCCTTTGCTCCAGGCTCCCTCAGCTGCTCCTGACCCCCCGTGGTCTGTAGACCCTTCCCCAGCAGCTCCGTTGCCCTTCTCTGGAAACTCTCCAGCATTTCAATGTCAATACACAGGAAAAGGGGTAATGGTTTTAAGCTTGAAAAGGGTCAGTTTAGGTTAGACATTAGAAAAAGTTCCTTAATATGAGGGTGGTTGATCACTGGAGCAGGCTGCCCAGAGAGGTGATGGAGGCCCTATCGCTGGAGACATTCAAGGTCAGGCTTGATGGGGGTCTGAGCAACCTGACCTAGTTAGTTAGAGATGTCCCTGCTCATGGCAGGGGATTGGACTAGATGACCTTTAGAGGTCACTTCCAGCCCAAACATTCTATGATTCTATAATGTTGATGTTGGAGACAGAGGCTCAAAAATAGAACCCAGGATTCCAGGGGCAGCCTCCCCAGTGCCGGGGGACGATCCCTGCCCTGCTCCTGCTGGCCACACTGGTGCTGACCCAAGCCAGGATGCTGGTGGGCTTCTTGGCCACCTGGGCACACGCTGCCTCATCTCCAGCCGCCTGTCCACCGACCCCCCAGGTCCTTTCCCTGGGGCACTTTCCAGCCCCTCTGCCCCAGCCTGGAGCGCTGCAGGGGGTGGTTGTGACCCAAGGGCAGGACACGGCCCTTGCCCTGGTTGAACCTCATCCCGTTGGCCTCATCCCATGGATCCAGCCTGGCCAGGTCCCTCTGCAGAGCCTCCCTACACTGAAGCAGAAGGTCACATTGCAACTCATGCATGGACTTTAGCCCTCTGCTGACCTGTACTTCAAAGGGGTTTCACAACAGTTTGGACTTTTCACTGCTGCAGTTTTTCAGAACTAGATGTTTGATACATTTAATGTGCACCATTATTGAGTGACATGCTGACATCCCACCTCAAACTCCCACAGAATAGTTACAGCTATTATTTATTGCATCATTCATTTTTCTAATCAGTGTTTAAAAAAACCAAAACAACACAAACCTTATAGGAATAAACAACTTTACAGGTGAGGGGATAATTTCTTAGAGTACCAGAAGGACTAGAGCTACTGTCATCAAAAACATCCATGCTGTCTTCAAACTCTTCACCTTCTTCCTTTTCTGCATCAGCATTGATCTATTAAAAAAAAAAAATAAATTGGGCAGTATATCATCACATAAAAATAAGTGAAGAACTAACAAAAATAAATGGATCACTTTTCTTCAGTGTGGATTTTATAATACTTAATGATAATTGAAACGGGACCAAAAAAAATGACGAAATAATACTCAACACCCAGTTCTCAAGGAATGTCAGGAATGGACTCACCAAACAAAGCAAATACAGGGAAGAAAAAGAACAAGAGCTGTCACCAAATTACATCTTTGCTTAACTCAGCTGTATTTGTCCATCCAAGCACAGGCCCGCAGACTTTTAAAGGAAGATTTTGGAAGCTCCAACTCATCTGCTGGACCATTATGTATTTTTTACATAAGCCATGGAACAGTGACTAATGTGCTTTGAAGATGCCATTTCAGAGCCGTAGCAAATAGTTTCATGGAAAAAAAGAGTCACTTCCTGAGGATTTCTGGGACTAAAAGATTAATGTACCTGTGACCACAAGTTATGAAATGAAACTGCATTGGAAAGACTTAAACTTGAAAAAATACGTTAAAAAAAGAAATCAGCCTTCCCACTGGTGTGTTCTGCACAGCAGATTTTCTGCAGTTTAGATTTAAAAAAGTCCTTAGAGAAAGAACGATGATTAAAAGCGAGCTATAAAAGATTAAAAACCTGAATACACAGGGAAAAGAGAAGTTTCTATAAATGTAGTTTGTGCAACGTTGCCATGAACTGTGCTTTGGCCTTATGCCTGGGTTAAATTTTGAGCAAACTTTATCTTACGTGAAAACAGGCAAGTCTGCAGAATCAAAGGCAACACTGTTCTGTATTTGCCATATTCCCTTTATTTATTCCTTTTAATTCGGAGTGAATTTGGTGTTCCTCATGAAAATTAAAAAGCTGATAGATCAAGAAAAAGTTGTGAGCCCTGAAGAGCTCTGTGCAGGCTCCCTCCACCAGCTCTCCCTGCTCTGTGACATCTTTGCTCTTCATCATTTCCTGGACTTAGATCCATTTTTGTCACCATTTCTAGACTACAACCTTGTATTTCATAGGATTTTTTTCCCCAGCTCATTTTCACGCAGGTGCAGTTTCCATCCATCACTACTCAAATGGATGGGTGGATGTTGTAGTAACAAAAAAAATGCTGTCCTACATGGCTAATGCTTTGGTATCTTACCAACCAGGTACAAATTATGGAAAATTTAAAGCTTCCCCTCCAGTCTCTAACTGCCTGTTGCTGTGCATGGTCTATGTCCCAGCAGCCCAAGCCGATGTTCAGCTGACAGCCATAAAGAACATCATGGAAATTGGAGGACCATGTCTAGGAAGACCCATTTGTAAAACATCTGGTCTCGGTTTTCTACCACGAGGAGGAAAAATTAATTTTAATTTTAAGTGTGTGGGCTGCTCAAAGTCCTTGAATAGAATCATTTGCAAAGCTGGCATACAGAGGGAAAAGAGTATAAGTGGGATAGAAAATGGTGCAGCTTGTCTCATACAGCTCCTCCTTCTACGGCTCCTCGTACCCAAAGAGAGTGTAAGCAAAGAGTAAATACACCAGGTACGATCCACCGGAGGTACGGAACAGCCACAAAGACAAGAAGAAATGCAGGTAGGAAGGTGACAAGACAACTGGATTATACTGATCAAAAAAGGTATGCAAATATGGATCTTGTTTTAGAACCACTGAAACATTTTGGTTCAAAGAGACCTTTCAGATCATCATGTCCAACCAACAACCTGGCACTTCCAGGTCCCCACTGACCCATGTCCCTCAGCACCACATCTCCACAGCTTGGAAACCCCTCCAGGGATGGGGACTCCACCACTGCCCTGGGCAGCCTGGGACAGCCCTGGACAACCCTCAAGGGCAACAAATTGTTCCTCAGGGCCAACCTCAACCTCCCCTGGGGCAACCTGAGGCTGTTTCCTCTTGTTCTGTCCTTTGTTCCTTGGGAGAAGAGCCCGACCCCCACCTGGCTCCAGCCTCCTGTCAGGGAGCTGTGGAGAGCCAGAAGGTCTCCCCTGAGCCTCCACAGCTCCAGGCTCAGCACCCCCAGCTCCCTCAGCTGCTCCTCACCACACTGGCCACACTCCAGCCCCTCAAGGTCCTTCTGTGAGGGAGGGGCACAAAACCGACCCCAGGATTCGAGGGGCAGTCTCCCCAGTGCCCAGTGCAGGGGGACGATCCCTGCCCTGCTCCTGCTGGTCACACTGGTGCTGACCCAAGCCAGGATGCTGCTGGCCCTCTTGGCCACCTGGGCACACTGCTTTGCACGTGTATATGCAACATCAGCTGCATATCTTACACAAAAAGAGATTCGATATTAAAAAAAAAAAATACAAAAAGACCTTTTCTACTGATATCCCTGGAAATGCAGAGACCCCGACAACAACAGAGAATACGTTTCTATTGAACCACCTCCAGTCTGATTTGGATCTATGACCTCCAGGAGCTAAAAACCGATGAAATTTCATCCCAGTGCATGAACAATTTTATGCCAAGGTTGGTGAGCCTCTGGCCTAGGTTGCCACAAGAGGTGGTCACTGCCCCATCCCTGGAACCATTCCAGGGGAGGTTGGCCGGGGCTCTGAGCAACCTGCTCTAGTTGCAGATGTGCCTGCTCACCGCAGGGGGGTTGGACCAGGTGACCTTGAAAGGTCCCTTCCAACCCAAACCATTCCAGGTTTCTATATTAACTCCTTCAGCTCGTTACATCCCTCTGGTAGGTTAAATAAATCCAGCAGTACCAAGACATTGATGCTGCTTTCTTTTTTTTAGCTTGTTAAAAATGTATTTTGACAATTTTGCTGAACAAATTATGTCATGACAAGCACCAGCAGAAGGAGCAAAGCCATGCATGATGCAAAGATGGTTTCTGAAGGTTAACCACTGCCTGCTCTTCCAGAACCAAGTGAAAGTGCTGCTAGTTACGCTGTAGTAATTCTAATAATTGCAAGCAGCTTCATTTGAGCAACAGTTCTAAGAATTCCATCCACAGGCTGTCCTCATCTGGCCTGCCAAGGTCAACAGCATCTTTTTTTAATACGGGAGCGTATGGAAGTGTAAAAGGGGAAAATAAGAATCAGAGTTTAACCTCCCACACTGTAGCAGCTCCTGGCTCGCCAGGGACTACCACAGGGTTTGGCTCCAGGGCCAACTGTTGGCATGTCTGAGGAGACAGAGAAAGAGGTGTTGGGTGGGATCCAACACGCATCATGGGAAGCTAAAGGAGGTGGAGTACAAGAAGAAAGGGAAAAAGACATTGTTAAACACAGCTATGTAACATATCCTCATCTACCCTGGCTGGAAATGATCTGAAATGCAACTCGGCACGAGAAGTCCTTTGGGATTTGGGGAGGCTGAAGCTTGGATCTGCATACTACAACTTGAATCTCTAATTATCCTCCTAACCATGGGAATAAAGCCTGCAGAGAGAGACTGCATGGAGTGGTGCTGTAACAACCTCTACTGCACATCACTGTCACTGTGTCTGTGTGTAATGTCCCAGAAGAAAGATCCCAGAATCCTGAAGAAAGCAAAGAAGGATTCAGGAATCTCAGGATTTGCTGAGCTTTCATTCAGTGCTTGCTCAGAGAATCCCAGTGTGGTGGGGTTGGAAGGGACCTCTGGAGATCGTCTCATCCAACCCCTCTGCTCAAGCAGGGTCACCCAGAGCAGTGTGCCCAGGAGGGTTTGGAATCTCTCCAGAGAAACTCACTTTTTTGAACTCAAGTTAGCTCTACATGCCAAAAAAATCCCTCTCTCTCTAAGGCTTTGCCTCCATTGCCAAGCAAATGATAAAGCAGCAGAAAAGCATGAAGGAACATGGGAATAGGCAGGAATTTTTGTGTGTGGATAGCCCATACTTGCTGAAACGATGATTTTGTTTCTCTTAGGTGGTCAGCTAAAGCAAGTCATTCTCCACATCGTTTGTAGTGCAATAAAAAACCACATCCCCAATTCCCCCTGGAAGTTTTGTTACACAGAAGACACATCCAGGCTGCTCAAAGCACTTAAGATTAATAAGAAAATGTGAATTAAGTAATTTCAGTGTCTTAACAGTGTATGAAGCCTGCAGTTAGGAAAGTATCCACATGCAAACCAAGACTTTGTAAAAGCCTCTGAATTTTGTTAAATATTTTAATATCTGAACATCCACAGAAAATTAAAAATATGTTTGAGGCAAACTGACCAAACCTTCAGGAATTTTATACCACTCGGTTACTGGTGAAAAGCCACAGATTGGCTGGTTAGTTTTACTGCCAAAGGTGACAGCTCAGCATCTCATGTCATAGAGGAATGGAAAAAAAAAAAGCTATTATGAGCTATTTTAGCAATTCCTCTTTTCTGAAGGGGTTTTTGGTTCAGGCATCACTATTTTGATTCAGCCATCACTATTTATGTTGAAATATAGCATTCTTCATGGGGGAGAGGGGAGGAAAAGGAGGGTGTGCTTTTTATTCTTTCTTGAATTACATTAAAATGTGCTTTCTTCCAAGCTAAACAGATGGGAGATACCTCTGGCCTATTTTCCAAACCAGCTATAGACACTACAAATGCAATCAGTCTTATGTAAAACTGAATTAAAAAAATCATTCCCAATCTTCCACTGATCAAAGTCGCTTTTTAGTTCAATTTTGGGTATATTGGATGAAATTCTCAGAAATTAGCGTGGCTTTGGACACAGTCATGCAATTGAATTTAACAGTTTAAGAAGTTTCTGACTCCAGATGAAACGCAGCAGTGGTCACATTTATGGTCTGTTCCAATTTAATTTCTTTACTGCTTTAAGTGAAACTGGTTATTCCTATAGAAAATGTCAAATATTTACTATATCTCACATAACTGAGGGCAGTAACTTGCAGGTCAAGAGTGGGAATGTCTAAATCTATGAGAGATCTCTGAGGGAAACATGCAGCCCTGCTCACAGCACAGCCTGGTTTCCAAAGCCTTACACTGATTTTTAAGGAATTATGTTTTCATCTCAAATATTCCCGTCAGTTTAGAAACAGGCTTTGCTCTCCTGATGACTTTCAGTGTGATCGCTCCAGAAATGACTCTTTCAGAGCTGATGGAGAGCCTGTGGCTTTCTAAACATTTGGAAGAATAAAGCCTTTCATCCAAGTAGCTCAGATAACATCGTAAACCATTAATGAAACTTCAAAGAAACCTGCAGACATTTTTCTTTTCAGGAGATGCCAAATAAATTTTACGGCACTTATCCGAGGTCAGAAAAATCAATCTACAGTAAGTTCAGCAACAGAACCCAGAAAACTTTTTTTTTGTGGTTGTGTTTCATTGCTCAAAACACTTGAAAGTCACAGTGAACAGTTTTAAAGTGAGAATTCATGGGCTACCCCCCCAGCAGTGTGGGCAGCAGGGCAGGGAGACCCCCCTGCAGTGCTGGGGCAGCTCTGGAGTCCTCAGCACAGCAGAGACAGGGACCTGCTGGAGCGGGGCCAGAGGAGCCCCAGCAATGCCCCGAGGGGGGAACCCCTCTGCTGGGAGCCCAGCAGGAGAGAGTTGGGCTTGGGCAGCCTGCAGAGGAGAAGGCTCCAGCTGGGGAGACCTTCTGGGGGCCTGACAGGACTTCCAGGGGCCTGTCCCAAAGATGGGGAGGGACCTTTTAGCAGGACCTCCTGGGACAAGACCAGGGGTGATGGTTTTAAACTAAAAGAGAGAGATTTAGACTACATCTAATGAAGAATTTTTTCTCAATGAGGGTGGTGAGACACTGGCCCAGGTTGCCCAGGGAAGTTGTGGATGGCCCCTCTCTCGATGTGTTCAAGGCCAGGTTGGATGGAGCTCTGAGCAACCTGCTCCAGTTGAGGATGTCCCTGCCCATGGCGTTGGAACTAGATGACCTTAAACCGTGACAGCATGGAATCCAACCATGCAAAGCTACAAGATCCTTCCAGTTAGCTAACAAACTCCCAAATACTACTGATTTTGTTTGCTAGTCCATATTAAGTAAGGAGCAGCTCCTAGGAAAGGGCCCTGTGGTGAGGGTTCCAGGCTGGGGGGCGTACCAGGTGTGAGGAGCCGTTGTTGGTGACCGAAGGCAGGCTGGCCCAGCGCTCGTTCTCCAGCTCTTCCATCACTTGGTTCATGGCACTTTTGAGCCATGTGTCCACAGACACGCCGATCTGCTTCAGGAGATCCAGACGGGCTTCTGCCTTCAGCTTAATTATCTGAGGAGAGAAACACAGGCAAGTCAGAATTCTTTCGAGGTCACGCCTCGCTCCTCGCCACGATCCCAACGCGTTATTTCCTGATCTGCAAATTACCCCAAGGCTGCTCCACGTGGAAATGAGGCCAGCTCTTCGTTTCCTTGCCTGTAGGAATGTGGTGTGAGCCAAGAGACAGGGAATGGTTTTCTGGAGATGCAGAGCTACAGGCACAGCCAATTGCACGAGCTGGTGTTTTTCAAACACAGTCTATTCGTTTATGCAAACTTTCTGTTCAGGTATTCTGGTGGTCAGTTAGTTCAGATTATTTTCAAAGTGCAAAACCTCAGACAAAATCCAGTGTTTCAGAGCGTTTTTAAAATGAGGAATACTCCTGGGCTGCAGACCCTGGATGCCCTTTAGGCTGCTGACTAAACTGGATCGGATATACAAACAAATCTGATACACAAACACGAGCCCCACAACCCCCCAGCTGGGGCTATTTTCCACCAGCACCTGCCAGAGATCTCAGGAAACTATTTTTTATGAAAACAGAGTATCTTCGTAATTCCAAAATTCAATAAATATCACACTTTGATAAACAGTGTGCATTATTTTTGTCTTCAGACAGAATAAAGATTCAGGTTTTCTGACAGCTAGGTTCCCTTCAGTATCCTGGCACGTTTTCTGGCTAATGGAGCCAGGGCACACCTTCAACCCAAGCCAAATTATTTAACAATCTAAACAGAGGGAAAGGAAAGAGTAGCATGAGGAAACTGAGAACTGAAGAAATTCCAGAAATGCAAAATTCAGAATTTCAAAGCAAAGCAAAATTTCATGTCGAGCCAAGCAGAATTCCAAAGACTGCATCAAGAAGCAGAGGGAAACCTAGGAATAAAATCCAGGATATTTATGTCCAGCCAGGCCCTATCATCATCATCATCCTGTTGCACTTGCTCATCCGAGGAGCAAAATTCAAGTGATTTACCAAAGGACCTTCGGTGAGTCACAGATGAAGGCAACAACAGAAAGCCACTGAATTGCCCCGGAGTTTTTTCTGCATTTCCTTTCACAGCATTGTTCATTCTTGGCAAGTTACTGTGCAAGCAGCAGACTTTCAGCTCCTTTCTCACCCTTTCCACAGGGATCAGAAGCACCTCACTTCAGCACCACTGCTGGTATTGGTACACAAAGCCACCAATGGCACTGGGGAACCAAGCAAAACCAGCAAAAATAGATGGGTCTAAGGAAAAATTAGAGGGCAATTACTTTTTTCATAATGGCTGAAGCACAGCAGAGTGTGTAAGATTATATGTACAGTGAATTAAAATGCCAAGTGGTGTCACATGGACACACTCTTTGGTATATCCTTACCACATACAAAATGTTGTGTTGAGCTGAAATGATACTGATATTTTTCTTCTTTTTCACATGCTGCACTTATCCAAGAAGATAAGTACGAAGATGAACAACCATAACTTTCATTCAGCTGATCCCCAAACATGGATCCATTTTCATCGAATCACAGAATGGTTTGGCTTGGAAGGGAACTTTCAAGGGCATCCAGTCCAACCCCCCTGCAGGGAGCAGGGACATCTGCAACTAGAGCAGGTTGCTCAGAGCCCCGGCCAACCTCACCTGGAACGGTTCCAGGGATGGGGCAGTGACCACCTCTCGGGGCAGCCTGGGCCAGGGGCTCAACACCTTCATCATAAAAAATTTCTTCCTTTTATCTAGTCTAAGTCTCCCCTCTTTTAGTTTAAAACCATTTTCATGCTGAGAAGATTATTCACATCTTTCTGACAGGCCCCCTGGAAGTCCTGTCAGGCCCCCAGAAGGTCTCCCCAGCTGGAGCCTTCTCCTCTGCAGGCTGCCCAAGCCCAACTCTCTCCTGCTGGGCTCCCAGCAGAGGGGTTCTCCCCTTGGGTCACTGCTGGGGCTCCTCTGGCCCCGCTCCAGCAGGTCCCTGTCTCTGCTGTGCTGAGGACTCCAGAGCTGCCCCAGCACTGCAGGGGGGTCTCCCCAGAGCGGGGCAGAGGGGCAGGATCCCCTCCCTGCCCTGCTTCCCATGCTGCTGGGATGGCCGCCCATTTCTTACTTTAAAACTATTCACAAAGGTGACTTTCAACTGTTTCAAGCAGTGAAACTACTTTTGAGAGATGTTCGTTCTAATTCCCTTTAGAAGAAATGTGAGTTTTAAAAAGTAGAGAAGTTATTAGATTAAAATTTATGATGTGAAATGTGTCTTCATGGGGTACAGCTGCATGCACACGCTCCCCAACAGAATTAGGTGTGGAGACTGAAGCATTGGACAGGTTTGAGAAGTATTTCCCACGGGAAAAGCCAAAGCCACTTAGTCAAGTGAAGTTTCCACTTCTCTGTGCAAGAGGTTTTCAGGTGAATGATTAACACACACTGTAAATACTGTTCATATAGCTGAGAAAATGAGGAAAAAAGTAAAATACTAATATACAACATTTTACTTCAGTCAAGATTCAGAAAATACTGATTTAAAAAGAATAAAAAGCCCCAAGATGGATCCACACATAAGCATTTACATTTGAAAGGCAGATCCTTCCAATTCAAAGGTAGCATCAAGTATCTTCTGAAAACCTTTCAGTCACTGTGGCCCAAGCCCCAGCCTGAAATCTATGAATATTTCCAAAAGCAATACCTAGGAGAAGGTCTGAAATCCTGGTGTTAGAGTGCCAGGGGTGAATGCAGGATACATTTCATCCCTTTACTGGCCTTAGAAAGGGAAGACTTCTCACTTTGTTTCCTGCCTCTTGTCCCTACTTATAATAGTTTATATATTTTAAAGCTGTAAGAGCATGGAAACAATAATAATTTTAATTTATCATTAACCTTTTCTTTGGGAAAATTTGGACTGGGAGCACTTAGCAAATTGAGAAGTGGATTTCTCACTCTGTCAAGCTAACCAGAGACCACACTTTCAAACCAAAGATATAAGCCCACAAGAGTTGCGCCAAAAAGCTGAATCCAGGGATGCCAATTTCTGCACATGAACTCACCTCTCTCCTGTTAATAAATGTTCTAGATTTTGAAGAAAACCACTTCCTAACCACATCTGCTTTGAAAGAAGGGGAAGATGATGGTTCTACAGCACCCGCTGAGGATAAGCACTGATCCTGCCTCTTAGCTGGATGCTCCCTACACCCAAGAGGAATCACCTGCCACCATTAAGTTGGAGCATGGTGAGGTCCATCCTTGACATCTGCAGTGTAAGCACAACCCAGTCAAAGGCAATTGGTTCATTTGGGGTTGGACTGTGACTGTGGTAAGGCAGGTTGCCCAGGGAAGCTGTGGATGCTCCATCACTGGAAGTGTTCAAGGCCAGGTTGGATGAGGCTTTGAGCAACCTGCTCCAGTGGGAGATGTCCCTGCTCATGGCAGGGGGGTTGGAACTGGATGATCTTTAAGGTCCCTTCCAAGCCAAACCAGTCTATGATTTGGGGTGGTATTTGGAAGGTCACACCCAGCCATAAACCCAAGGGAGGACGTCACAAAGAGGAGAAATCTACATATGCAACAGATCTGCTCGCAATGTGAGAGGTGGGACTCAAAATATGGAATGCAAAACAAGCAATGCAAGTTAACAAGCTGGGCTGGGCTGTGGGAAGCTTTAAAATGGTCTGGAGAAAAGCAGATAAAGTCCTTCCCTAGAGCATATACAAGGTCTGCTGGAAACAACAGTGCCCCAGATTCAGGCAGTCTCCACTTTTTGCCCGGGGCAGTGGTGGAGTCCCCATCCCTGGAGGGGTTTCCAAGACGTGGAGATGTGGTGCTGAGGGACATGGGTCAGTGGGGACCTGGCAGTGCTGGGGAACGGTTGGACTCCATGATCTTAAAGGTCTCTTCCAATCAAAATGATTCTATGATGCTATTTCTATGATGCTAAAGCAGCTATCCCCTATTTTGCCTTTATCTTCTGACAGCACATTGTGAGAACTTTCCTTATGCCTTCACCAGAAGCTGCCTAGGAAATGACCAGCCCAGTTGTTTTGCTGTTTTACCTCGTTATGCAATTTCTAATTAGCTGGAGTTACGCAACAGCAATAAACCTTGGTCTAGGCACGCTACAAACACTGGTGGGCCCTATTAGTACTTGGGCTGCCAGAAACCACGTTGTTTGTAGAGACTTGTTAGCTAAAATAAACAAGCTGCTCCAAGACCCTTGACTGTACTTGCTAAGGGTCAGACAAGAGTTTTGAATTCAAGGTACCCAGCAAATCCAACCAAGTTGCCCTGCTCTATTTACACACAGTAGCCTTAATATTCAACAAATGCTTGTTCCAAACCACAAATGTTTGGAGTTTCATTCCACTGCAGACAAGCCATAAAAGTATTTACAGTAGTAGGTCAGGCCTGCACTTGAAAGATATATGATGCTGTTTACAAGCATACATATATATACTTTTATGTAAATAATTATACTGGTGGACCAGGGCTAACAGCTTCCTACTTGTATGGAAAAAAACCTCAACAAAACAGACAGCAGTTTAACTTTATTTGGGACAATCTTTTGAGCAGGGCCTGTTGGAACAGGACAAAGGGGAATGGGTTTAAACTCAGGGAGATTTACACTAGAGAGAACAAAGAAATGTTCTCTGTTGAGGGTTGTGAGCCCCTGGCCCAGGTTGCCCCGAGAAGTGGTCGCTGCCCCATCCCTGGAACCATTCCAGGGGAGGTTGGCCGGGGCTCTGAGCAACCTGCTCTAGTTGCAGATGTCCCTGCTCCCTGCAGGGGGGTTGGACTAGATGACTTGGAAGGTCCCTTCCAACCCAACCCATCCTGTGATTCCATGATTCCATGATATTTAAAAATATAAGAACTTTATTCAGATACCCCTCTATGTAAATGAGCTGGGGTTTGATGCTTTCATTAGGCTGGAACAAAACGTTAAGTAAGAGGGAAACAAGGGACCACCCGGAGGAAGTCCTGGTGTTTTCACCAGCACCAAGTCATGCAATCAGCTCTTCTGTGCGTGCACCCAGGCTGAAGGC